ATTGTCTACAGACAAGTACACAAACAACCAATTATTGTCTACAGACAAGTACACAGAAAACCATTAATTGTCTACAGACAAGTACACAAACAACCAATTAATGTCTACAGACAAGTACACAAACAACCAATTATTGTCTATAGACAAGTACACAGACAACCAATTATTGTCTGCAGACAAGTACACAGACAACCAATTATTCTCTCCAGACTAGTACACAGACAACCAATTATTGTCTACAGACAAGTACACAAACAACCAATTATTGTCTACAGACAAGTACACAGACAACCAGTTATTGTCTACAGACAAGTACACAGACAACCTATTATTGTCTACAGACAAGTACACAAGCAACCAATTATTGTCTACAGACAAGTACACAGATAACCAATTATTGTCTGCACACAAGTACACAGACACCCAATTATTCTCTCCAGACAAGTACACAGACAACCAACTATTGTCTACAGACAAGTACACAAACAAACAATTATTGTCTACAGACAAGTACACAGACTAACAATTATTGTCTACAGACAAGTACACAGATAACCAATTATTGTCTGCACACAAGTACACAGACACCCAATTATTCTCTCCAGACAAGTACACAGACAACCAACTATTGTCTACAGACAAGTACACAGACAACCTATTATTGTCTACAGACAAGTACACAAGCAACCAATTATTGTCTACAGACAAGTACACAGACTAACAATTATTGTCTACAGACAAGTACACAGACAAACAATGATTGTCTACAGACAAGTACACAGACAACCAATGATTGTCTACAGACAAGTACACAGACAACCAGTTATTGTCTACAGACAAGTACACAGACAACCAATTATTGTCTGCACACAAGTACACAGACAACCAATTATTCTCTCCAGACAAGTACACAGACAACCAATTATTGTCTACAGACAAGTACACAAGCAACCAATTATTGTCTACAGACAAGTACACAGACAACCAGTTATTGTCTACAGACAAGTACACAGACAAACAATTATTGTCTACAGACAAGTACACAAACAACCAATTATTGTCTACAGACAAGTACACAAGTACACAAACTTACAAACATGTATCATAGGTAACATATAAATATACAAATAACCAATCAGAATTTACAGACAAATATTACAACTACAAGAGGATACCAAAGTATCAACCAAACCCGAAATTCGAACACAAAAACCGGGTATTTAGCTTACACTTGTAATCTTAAAAGTGGACTACAATACAGCTAAAGGCAAAATATCAGTGTTTGATTCAAACGAATCTGGGCATTTCGGTTATTCAGAAAAAGTTGTTTAAGTTTTAAACATATTTGACCCCTGTGATCTTGAATACCAGTGAAGGTCATTTATTTGAACAGACTTGGTAGCCCTTCATCCCAGCATGCTACTGGCCAAATATCATCACTCTGGGCATTTTGGTTATTCAGGAGAAGCTGATTAAAGTTTTTAACATACATGTATTTGTCTCCTGTGACCTGGAATATAGGTGAAGGTCATTTATTTTAATAAACTTGCTAGCCCTTCATCCCAGTTTGCTTCTGGCCAAATATCATCACCCTAGGCCTTGCGGTTATTAAGAAGAAGTTGTTTAAAATAAAATATTGACGCCGGACGCCGGACGCCGGACGCCGGACGCCGGACGGACGACGGACGACGCACCACGGCATAAGCTCACTTCGCCCTTCGGGCTAGGTGAGTTAAAAACGTAGGAAGGAGAATTAGGCCAGATATCCTGGAAGGATAAAGTCTTCAGCTTTATCGTTGACAATCGCCAACGAAACAACAGCACACACTAATGAGCATAATTCAACTTCGACCTCAAAATGTCACAAGGAAGTAGCTTATTTCCAAGACCTCAAAATGTCACAAGGAAGTAGCTTATTTCCAAGACCACAAGATGTCACAAGGATGTAGCTTATTTCCCAAGACCTCAAAATGTCACAAGGAAGTAGCTTATTTCCAAGACCTCAAGATGTCACAAGGAAGTAGCTTATTTCCAAGACCTCAAAATGTCACAAGGAAGTAGCTTATTTCCCAAGACATCAAAATGTCACAAGGAAGTAGCTTATTTCCCCAAAACATCAAGATGTCAACCATAGAACTTGTTCATAATCTTTATCCCTAACATCTTGTAAGTTTGGCCGTCAGCAGTCGACATCTATCACGGAAATCATGATATTCGGAGCAAGCTCGTGAATACCGAATCAAATTCCACATGTAAATAGCATAGGTTGGAGAAGGAGGAATGTTGTGATCAAGAAAGGGAAATTCATGATAGGGATCCGAAATTTGGCCTTGATAGAGGAGTCAGTAGTGTCCTTGAGAGTTCAAGCTCAGATGGGTATATATGATGGATGTGGTCAATAAATTTATAGTTGTTAAGAGTGAGTAAAGAATAATAACAGTGCGGTAAGTACAATTGTAAATTCCCCATTTTGAAATGGAAATGAAATATGACCAGTCTGAAACATCAAACAAATCAATCAAATCACCCGTTTTAGCGGCTGACTTGATATATCATGTTCGTTGACTGTAAGAATGATCCTATTTTTTATGATTGACTTATCAACCAACGTTGTGTACCGTACGTCTAAGGTCTTTATACAATACTGCAGTTCCATGTCTACCGATGCACGTGACATCCTCCGTTTCGATCTCACAATATCAATAGGTTCGACAGCTATATATCATACGATATACAAGGACAGTATATCAACAACAATTCACATCTGTCGTGTGCTTGTATTTCTTGGGGAATCTATGCATGTAGTTTTTGACCAGACAATACAACTTAAAGTAGTAGCCTTGTTATACAGTCAGAACGATCTGAAGAATTCTAACATATAAAAATCTTCTGACATGTTTATGACGTAAACTAGACCCCTGATCAGTCGGGAAGAACCCCGCGAAGAACATGTCGTAAACTATCACCACATGAAAAAATTACGTGTCAGAAGACGGGAAGATGAGGTGGAAACAAGACATTAAACCAGCGTACTAATCATTGATATCTATATCTATATATATATATATTGGTATGTTTTAAAGAAAAACATGTTCTTGAAGTAAAGTAACAAAATCTACTTTACTTTAATAATGTTAACATACAGTTTAATGTTGGTAAAAATCAAATTTTAAATGACTGAATCATTCAAATACTTGTCTACTGTAAAGTTCTGTTTTTTCACGGTCCCTCTTTTTTGCATATTCGCTAAAATAGCCAATTTTGTTGTATTAGTAATTCGCGAATTTCAAGTCCATAGGCACACTGTGCTGAGGTAAAAATGGATTATTTTCGTTCGAATTTCGCCAGATATCAGTTTCATAGCAGAAAAATGATCAGGGGAAAAACCGTGCAGGTTAGAACCCCGCGAAAAATACAGCATTTACAGTATAGAAATATCAGCGTACAGTGGATTCTTAGGCCTGCAATAAAAGTATTGAATTATAATTCAAATTTGACCAAAAAAATATATATTTCTCTACAATTTATGATGATCAATAGCAACGTATTGTGTCAATTAAAAAACAGACGGAAAAACAGACAAGAAGATTACTAAAAGACACGTGATATTCTCCTACTGCAATACGTATACCCTAATGAAGCTTTTTACCAGCGACTGTATAAAAAAAAAAAAAAAAAAAAAAAAAAATAACCCGATCACCATACAGAGCTACAGTCTAAACCAACACCTGAAATAACCGTTTATATAAATTATACCAAATACACATATATCTAACTGCTTCACGCAAATAGTTTCCTACACATTATTGAGCAGAAGTTTTCATATACCAAATTCCAGTCTGACTGAGTCAATGAATAGTTCTTTCAGAAATATTTGCTGAAAACCATCAAAGTGTGTTAAAGTTGTTGTGAGGGTTGAAAATACCTGCTAGAACTGGAGTAAAGACACTTAGTGTGAGCAGTATGACTATAGATCGCAAAGATAATTTTGTTGTACTAAAATAAAACGCTTTTTGAACATCAAAAACTAACGATGCATATTAATGTAGAAAGGTGCGCATCAGAATCTTCCCAGTGACATTTATTACTGGGGTAAATCTCATTTAAAGGTGATGACGGCAGGGACATTTATGAATGGAGTAAATCTAGTTTACAGGTGATGACAGCAGGGACATTTATCACTAGGGTAAATCTTGTGTACAGGGAATGACAGCTGGGACATTTATGACTGGGGTAAATCTAGTTTACAGGTGATGACAGAAGGGACATTTATCACTGGGGTAAATCTAGTTTACAGGTGATGACAGAAGGGACATTAATCACTGTGGTAAATCTAGTTTACATGTGATGACAGAAGGGACATTTATCACTGGGGTAAATCTAGTTTACAGGTGATGACAGAAGGGACATTTATCACTGGGATAAATCTAGTTTACAGGTGATGACAGAAGGGACATTTATCACTGGGAAAAATCTAGTTTACAGGTGATGACAGCAGGGACATTTATTGCTTGGGTACATCTAGTTTACAGGTGTTGACAGAAGGGACATTAATCACTGGGGTAAATCTAGTTAACAGGTGATGACAGAAGGGACATTTATCACTGGGGTAAATCTAGTTTAAAGGGGATGATAGGAGGGACATTTATCACTGGGGTAAATCTAGTTTACAGGTGATGACAGAAGGGACATTTATCACTGGTGTAAAACTAAACTACAGGTGATGACAGAAGGGACATTTATCACTGGGGTAAATCTAGTTTACAGGTGATGACAGAAGGGACATTTATCATAGGGGTAAATCTTGTGTACAGGGAATGACAGCGGGGACATTTATCACTGAGGTAAATCTAGTTTACAGGTGATGACAGCAGGGACATTTATCACTGAGGTAAATCTAGTTTACAGGTGATGACAGCAGGGACATTTATCACTGAGGTACATCTAGTTTACAGGGGATGACAGCAGGGACATTTATCACTGGGGAAAATCTAGTTAACAGGTGATGATAGGAGGGACATTTATCACTGGGGTAAATCTAGTTTACAGGTGATGACAGCAGGGACATTTATCACTTGGGTAAATCTCGTTCACATGTGATGATAGCGAGGACATTTATCACTGGAATGGAATGAAAGAACAGCTGGAGTCTGGAAGACAAGGCGAGAGGATTTTACGAAAAAGGAAAAGAATGAGGCATGAGTTTCAAGGAAAGTTGGGATGAAGTAGGAAAAGACAACAGTAGGAGTAAGGGATGGGAAAATTGGATGAGGAGGGGAGGAAAGGTAGGAAAGGAGGGAGAATCTGGAGACAGGGGAAATGAGGAATTCATAGTGATCAAAGGAAAGGATGTGAAAGAAAGAAAGGAACGAGACTGGAAGGTCAGAAGATAGACTTTCTATGAGAAAATTTGCAGATTGAAAAATAATGAGGCAAGAAGGCTAGGGGACATTCAGAGGGAAAATGATTATGAGATGCCTGAGGCAGAGAGTTAGAAGAAAAGACAGAAAGATTAGTGAAAGGTCAGAGGAGAATGTCAATAGGCAGTGGGGGCAGAAGAGGAAATACAGAGAGAGAATGGTTGGGGAATTTCAGAGGAGGGAGGGTCAGAGGCACAAGAGATAAAGGAAAGTTAGAATTAAAAGGGTTATGGGAAATTTAAGGATAGAAGGGTTCGGAGTTGAAAACAGGAGGGTTTGGGGAAGGTAAGAAGCAGGAGGATAAAGAAAAATAAATAAGAAGCTGGAGGGTTAGGGGAAGGTCAGAAGCAGGAAGATTAAGAAAAAGAAAAAAAAAGAAGCTGGGGAAAATAATTATATGTATGGGTGTGTGAAAAAGGAGGGTGAATAATGGGTAATGATGTGAGGAGGTTAATAAAAGGGTTATTGGAAATGCAGTAGTACGAAGTGACAGGGATATAACAATAAGGACAATGAGGGAGGTGAAAGAAGGTTAGGGGAATGGGAAGGATTAGGGGTAAGGATAGGGTGAGGGATAAAGGGGGTAAGGGTAGGAGGAAAGGAGGTGCAAGTGGGGAAGCCAAGTATTTACAAACACAAAATAAGACAGCAAGTGAGAATTATATGGAAACAGAAGTGCATAAATTTAAAAAATCCTTGTAATACCAATTTAAAAAAATAATATTGACAATGATTCTTACCAGAACGGTGTAGAAACAATGGGTCACTTTATTTACAGCAGACAAAAGTGATTAAATTACAAGGACACAAACCTCTCTTTTAACAAAACTAACGTTTCAACAGCAAAATCTAAAGGCAGATATGGGAGAAAATTCTGAAATCCATCATGGACTCAAGATCTTTTCTGTGAAAAAGATCCAAAACTTGAAAAGATAACAACATAGGTACATTTGACAAAAACCCATATTGTTGATACTTCTTTTTCTTGGAGACAGTGTTATCCTATCTGGTTTCTTGTTGCTTTCCCAGTTAAAGGAAATTTGCCAAACTCTGTTTAATCTTTGGAGCTAAACTTGTAATAATTATATTCTTGAGGTCAAGATGTACCACAATCATTTCAGTTTACTCCAGATTATCCTTGAGATCTAGATTTGATACAAGTCTTAACATTCCTTTACATCATTGTACAAAGTATTAGTTACAAGAATCAATCAATCATTAACTTGTGAATGGAAAGGGCTTACAAAAGTCTTCTCATTTTGTACATTTACTTGTAACAATAAACTAGATTTGAAAAAAGATGAAATTACCTTGTGAGTTTGTCATACTCCTCAAATGTCATCCAGCAGTCAACACGCCGCCTGATGACTGCTTTGCCTGTAGACAGGTTCTCCTTGGTACCAGTGGCCGCCACAGACGAACGCTGGGGATACTTGTGACGGCTGTCAATGAGCAGTTTACCGCTACGTGACCTACGAACTTTATCCTTGTGCTTGACCTCTATTGGCGTTCGGGGTCGCTTTGGAGGGTCTGCGTGGTGACTAGACAAAAGAGGTGCACCAGGCGTCTTGACACGTCTCTCTATGGAAACTCTAGGGTGGTCAGGAGGGTGAAGCAGCACTGGAAAGGAATAAGACACATGTAGCTATACAACACTGTGTCATATCTTACACCTAATTAGGAACGGATATATTTCAAATTAACTCTCAGTACATTTACACTTCTTTCTACATTTCGACTCTAATCAACTAAATTATGTAAATAACTAATAATTATCTCTGTCCCACTGCATGCAAAACACAAGAAATATATGCTGCAGATTTTCATACATAGTCTCTCTCCTCCCCTTAATTTTGTTTTGGATATAGCTGTAGCAAAATTGAGCCAGAGCCCAGTTCATTAGAGCAACAGTATTACAACCTAAGGTCCAGGGTTTGGATCCCAGTCGAGGTCTGCATAACTTCTACACTCAAAACACTGCTGTTGATTATATTTTGTTCATTTGATCTTTATTATTTTTCAAAAAATCCCTCAGGATAAGGTTTTCTTTTCAAACATGATCTATCAAAACAAGTTTCTAATGTATTATGTTACAGATTTTGGTAGTGGTAAATTTAGACTTTAATCCTTTCACCACTGCAAACCATAAAGGATTCATCCAGATTAATGTATGGTAGATTATACTAAAGTTACATACAGTAGGGGTGAAAGGGTTAAGTACATACCACTTTCCAGCAGGGGTTTACTGAGGGTGATGTCCCCCTCCTGTATATTATTTAAGTACATACCTCTCTCTAGCAGGGCTTTACTGAGGGAGATGTCCCCTTCTGTATATTATTGAAGTACATACCTCTCTCTAGCAGGGCTTTACTGAGGATGATGTCCCCTCCTGTATATTATTGAAGTACATGTACCTCTCTCTAGCAGGGCTTTACTGAGGGTGATGTCCCCCTCCTGTATATTATTTAAGTACAGACCTCTCTCTAGCAGGGCTTTACTGAGGGTGATGTCCCCCTCCTGAATATAATTTAAGTACATACCTCTCTCTAGCAGGGCTTTACTGAGTGTGATGTCCCCTCCTGTATATTATTGAAGTACATGTACCTCTCTCTAGCAAGGCTTTACTGAGGGTGATGTCCCCTCCTGTATATTATTGAAGTACATGTACCTCTCTCTAGCAAGGCTTTACTGAGGGTGATGTCCCCCTCCTGTATATTATTTAAGTACATACCTCTCTCTAGCAGGGCTTTACCGAGGGTGATGTCCCCTCCTGGATATTATTGAAGTACATACCTCTCTCTAGCAGGGCTTTACTGAGGATGATGTCCCCTCCTGTATATTATTGAAGTACATGTACCTCTCTCTAGCAGGGCTTTACTGAGGGTGATGTCCCCTCCTGTATATAATTGAAGTACATACCTCTCTCTAGCAGTGCTTTACTGAGGGTGATATCCCCTCCTGTATATTATTGAAGTACATACCTCTCTCTAGCAGGGCTTTACTGAGGGTGATGTTCCCTCCTGTATATAATTGAAGTACATACCTCTCTCTAGCAGAGCTTTACTGAGGGTGATGTCCCCTCCTGTATATTATTGCAGTACATACCTCTCTCTAGCAGGGCTTTACTGAGGATGATGTCCCCTCCTGTATATTATTGAAGTACATGTACCTCTCTTTAGCAGGGCTTTACTGAGGGTGATGTCCCCTCCTGTATATTATTGAAGTATATGTACCTCTCTCTAGCAGGGCTTTACTGAGGGTGATGTCCCCCTCCTGTTTATTATTGAAGTACATACCTCTCTCTAGCAGGGCTTTACTGAGGGTAGTGCTCTGCACCTGACACATGCGCGTGATCTCGTAATACTCTTTCAGTTTGAGTTGCCTGTACTTGTCAATCATAGAGGCAGTTTCCCCCTGTAGAGTGGACTTCATACAGTGGTTGTCAATGGCACGATCACCAATCTTAATGATTCCTGGGGGCGTGTCTTCTTGGATCTTCTTTGGGGACTGTCAACACAAACACATCACAACTGATACCAGAGACAAATACTATTTCACTACCTGTCATATATCAATAAACAATTGAACACAATCTGAAATAATAATACAATTAAGACCATACTATGACAAAATAATAATAACAGATGGCTGTATTTCTTATTTGTCATCATATTTTAATCAGGTATCTATTATCAAATGTTATTTGGCAAGATAAATACCAATTCAAATGTCAGTTTTATCTAATGATAATGACCAATTAACATATATTTAATTTGCTGAAACTAGCATTGCCTTATTGATTTTCTTGCTGTTTATAATTCAGATGCTACCTTTATATCAAAAATTATATTAAAAATGCTGTATTGATAAAATCAATGATTTTAAAAAAAACACTCTGTTACCATACCACCACCAGACTATTACAAGTACGTATCTTATGAATATATACCTGTACTTACAACCCTGTCATTGACACCATCTGTTGATTAAACATATCCTCTAACCTTATCACAGTACAACACCCATATACTCTTCCACACAATTTAAAAAAAACTACAACAGGTAAACACTCTCCTCTTTGAAATCCAATGGTTCCTCTTTTGATATAAAAAAGAATCTATTCTACCCCCTTGGAATGTGCCATGACAAATAGATAGCTACTGTATAGCACCTGTTTAGCCATTTGATTGGTTAAGACATAAAAGAAAAGTATGTATGTCTGTATGATTCCTTTATCTTATATGAAAAAGACCAAAGGAATGTATGCCTGTATGATTTTTCTATCTTGTATGAAAAAGACCAAAGGTATGTATGTCTGCATAATTAATTTATCTTGTATAAAAAAGACCAAAAGTATGTATGTCTGCATGATTCCTTTTTCTCGCACCTCAGACAGAGATATCCCACGTCATACCCAATGCCGATCTGTCTTGTACCTTTACGTGACATTTCACAGAATTTTTACACTGCAATGTATTCATCCGCTCATTAACTGCTTAAAATTGACAATTTGCATTATAAATGTTCTGTTTTGTCGTTATATGTATAGTTTTGATGTTGTTAGATATTTGATGTTGTAGATAAAATATAATCTACACTGTGAAATACTTTAAAATCTATGTAAGGACGGACTACATTTTTACGCGGAAGCATTCAAATGTAGCTTTAGTAGTGAAGAGATCCTTATCATTTGAAGCCCAAGGCGGGATACTTGTAGTTTTTAGAAAAACTGAAACGTTCTTTTCGAACTAAAAGGTGCGAGAAAAAAATCAATTACCTGTAACTGAGCGAGATCGGGTAATCTCAGTTTCGGGCAAGATTCTGTAACATCCCAACCTCGGCTTACACCTCAGATGGGATTTTGTTACAGAATCTTAACCCTCGACTAAGATTAGCCGATCTCGCTCAGTTACAGGTAAAAGAATGTATTAATCTTGTATAGAAAAGACCAAAAGTATGTTGTCTGCCTGATTCCTTTATCTTGTATGAAAAAGACCAAATTAATAATAATAATTTGAGGTTCTTATAATTATACTGCTTTATCACAACCTATTTTTTAGGTTGTCTCAAAGCGGTTCACAAATTATTATCCGTGGTAATAGGGCCTTTGCACCCAGCCAATAGCATACAGCCGGTGCTGCCATTTCGGCGTTCACAGCTAGCATTCAACAATTCTAGCACTGCTCAACCACGTACCCATTTACAGCTGAGTAGACTGGAACAAGCGGAGTAAAGTATCTTGCTGAAGGATACAACCATGTGCCGTGACGTGACCCAAACCTGCAACCCTTCGATCACAAGCCCTGCATCCTACAACTAGACTACCGTGCCTCCAAACATACATACCAGAGGGTATGTATGTCTGTATGATTCCTTTATCTTGTATGAAAGAGACCAAAAGTATGTATGTCTGTATGATTCCATAGCAGTATCTGAACTAGTCCACCTGTAGAATCATACAGAGCCTTCAATTTTGTCATGGCACTTTCCAAGGGTATAGGGTGGAACTCTTTGATTCCAATTTGAGAAGATATACTTTGTACCATCACCACTTTAAGTACACCAATGCCACATTAGAAACTTACATGACATTGTACAGTGAACATGTTGTCAGTAGTTATATAGATTATACCCATTTACTAGGTTAGACTATATTAGATGTACACAATATGACATGACTATATAAAATAACTTCCATCCTGTACCCTAGAGAAAACCTTACCTTCAAAATGTCATATCACACCTCAGCCAAATGCTTGTATATTTTGTAATTTTAGAAAAACTAAAAAACCCACAACAACCCAAATTCTTAGTGTGACAAATACCAAGGCTAACAACACAGGCTGCCTGAGTACACGACTTTACCAAAGGGTCCTCCAATTCCAGGTCCGACAAAACAAGGTCATCAGATCGAGGCTTTAAATCCTCTAGTCTTAGTACCTCCTGACAATACCACAGTTACATACAATACTGTTAATTCTATATCTTAAGTATACCTGGAGTCTCTTATAGAAACAATGATATATATTATAAATCACGTTTACCAAAACATTATAATTTATATAATTACCTATACAAACAGTGATATTATAGAAATCACTTGTACGTATACATTAATTATATAGGCACACATACAATACTAGTATAAATCACTTTTACACATACATTATATATATATAAATAACTTTTACAAATGACATGTGCATAATTCCAAATCAGATTAACAATTATGTAATCTACAATCAAACACACACACAGGTAATCCCACATCTAACTGACACACAGGTAATCCCACTTCTGACTTACACACAGAAAATCCCACATTCCCAACACACAGGTAATCCCACATCTGACTTACACACAGGTAATCCCACATCTAACTGACAAACAGGTAATCCCACAGGTAATTATCAAACGTCTGACTTGTATAGCAAAGGTGATCACAGGTAATCAATTATCTTTCAACTACTGGTGATTCTTTGTACGTTACTAGTGCAATTGTGTGATTTTTTTTTCATACTTTACCAGTAAGAAACACTGGTCAACTTTGACTTACCATTTTGTGTGTTTGGCTTGAACCCTTTAGGGCTTCCCTGTCTCGCTTTCGCAAATCTACCATAGCTTCATCAGACTTGAGCACCATTTGTTCAGGGCGGGTATCGATATCTGGGGGATGGAGGAACTGGGGAGTGCTACTGCGACTCTGGGTGAGGACAGTGTGAGTGCTTCCCTGGCCACTCTCCTTACCCGAGTCTATCCTCTTCTTTCCTCCATCCGCATCCCCCTCAACTGTGGCAGTTTGACCCTCTAGCTTTGATTGGTCAGTTCCGACTGAGCCCTGACCAGCTGACTTGGCAGACTTCGGGGCAGATCGTGCACTGGACTTGGCAGATTTCGGACCAGACACCACAGTGCCTTTGGTGAGGTCAGACACTTCATGCTCTGGGCCAGTCTCCAACACTGGTGACCCTGGCACAAAAACAGCAGAAGGGAGGTAACTCCATGACAACCTTGATTAGTCAACCATGTTATACACATGCAGTTATGGGGTTTATAAAGATACTATGTACATGGACAGCAAACACAATGGGTTTTAATTTTTTTTTCATACTGTTAAGCTCATAGTTTAATTCATATATATTCATCAATGAACCTATTATCAAGGAAAACAATAAAAGCTGATCATGTAATATCTTGTAAAATTGTGGAGTTGTTTTTCTGTGATTATTTGTTAAATTGCTCATACAAATTAATATTTGTTATTATCGTTCTTGATTATCATTATAAAGTTATGTACTGCTACTGTGTATTTATGCAGTCCAAAAAGCAAGCTGATCCTGTCAACTCATATACTAGATGTGGACTAAAATGTACCTTCGCAGTGTGAATAAAACAGGGTCCTGATTAGTGTGACACTATGATGCACTGAGTATGCATTTATATTGTGTGACAAAACAGGGCCTTGAAAGCCATTTTTATGCTCTGGGCATATGGTAATATAATTATATATGGTAGTCGGCCAGTGTATGATCTGAAGTGGCTGTCCATAGGATATTGGAATCTGATTTTTTGGCATACATGTTTATCATTGTAATGATAATGACACCTGTATACCTGCATGAGAATTGGTCCCTTTAGATGACAGCGATGTTGTTTCCCTCGATAGTTCCTTGCGTCTGTTCTCACGGCGTTCTCGACGCCAACTGTCAAGTCCTCGCGCCAGCTCCTTGTAATCCAGCTCCTCATCAAAGTTTTCATCAAGGGATAGAATCAGGTCCTCCAGTAGGGGCTCAGACAGTGGAACTTTGGACTGTAACCATAAATAGGACAATGGAAACTTGATCAGGAGAACCTCTTCTGCTGCTCTAGTATAAAATAGTAGGTCAGATTTCCTAATATCACCAGAAATGTATCCATTCACGATCATAAAAATGTTATAAACAGGTTTAAATATCAATCAAGCTAATTAGATAAATACTACTGTAGTAGAACACCAAGGAAATAATGCTGTGAATTAATTACAGGTGTATGTGTGTCATTAGAGGAGGGGTGTATGTGTGTCATTGGAGGAGGGGTGTATGTGTGTCATTGGAGGAGGGGTGTTGTGTGTCATTGTAGGAGGGGTTTTGTGTGTCATTGGAGGAGGGGTGGATGTGTGTCATTGTAGGAGGGGTGTTGTGTGGCATTGGAGGAGGGGTGTATGTGTGTCATTTGAGGAGGGGTGTTGTGTGTCATTGGAGGAGGGCTGTTGTGTGTCATTGTAGGAGGGGTGTTGTGTGTCATTGTAGTAGGGGTGTTGTGTGTCATTGGGGGAGGGGTGTTATGTGTCATTGGAGGAGGGGTGTTGTGTGTCTATCCCGGGGTGTTGTGTGTCATTGGAGGAGGGGTGGATGTGTGTCATTGTAGGAGGGGTGTTGTGTGTCATTGTAGTAGGGGTGTTGTGTGTCATTGGGGGAGGGGTGTCGTGGGTCATTGTAGGAGGGGTGTTGTGTGTCATTGTAGTAGGGGTGTTGTGTGTCATTGGGGGAGGGGTGTCGTGTGTCATTGTAGGAGGGGTGTTGTGTGTCATTGTAGTAGGGGTGTTGTGTGTCATTGGGGGAGGGGTGTCGTGGGTCATTGTAGGAGGGGTGTTGTGTGTCATTGTAGTAGGGGTGTTGTGTGTCATTGGGGGAGGGGTGTCGTGTGTCATTGTAGGAGGGGGGTTGTGTGTCATTGGAGGAGGGGTTTTTGTGTGTCATTGGAGGAGGGGTGTTGTGGGTCAGTGGAGGAGGGGTGTTGTGTGTCATTGGAGCAGGGGTGTATGTGTGTCATTGGAGGAAGGTTGTTGTGTGTCATTGGAGGAGGGGTGTTGTGGGTCAGTGGAGGAGGGGTGTTGTGTGTCATTGTAGGAAGGGTGTTGTGTGTCATTGTAGCTAATTAGATAAATACTACTGTAGTAGAACACCAAGGAAATAATGCTGTGAATTAACTCGAGGTGTATGTGTGTCATTAGAGGAGGGGTGTCTGTGTGTCCTTGGAGGAGGGGTGTATGTGTGTCATTGGAGGAAGGTTGTTGTGTGTCATTGGAGGAGGGGAGTTGTGTGTCATTGGAGGAGGGGTGGATGGGTGTCATTGGAGGAGGGGTGTTGTGTGTCTATCCCGGGGTGTTGTGTGTCATTGGAGGAGGGGTGTTGGGTGTCATTGGAGGAGGGGTGTTGTGTGTCCTTGGAGGAGGGGTGTATGTGTGTCATTGGAGGAGGGGGGTTGTGTGTCATTGGAGGAGGGGTGTTGTGGGTCAGTGGAGGAGGGGTGTTGTGTGTCATTGTAGGAGGGGTGTTGTGTGGCATTGGAGGAGGGGTGTATGTGTGTCATTGGAGGGGGGGTGTTGTGTGTCATTGGAGGAGGGGTGTTGTGTGTCATTGTTGGAGGGGTGTTGTGTGTCATTGGAGGAGGGGTGTTGTGTGTCATTGGAGGAGGGGTGTTGTGTGTCATTGGAGGAGGGGTGTTGTGTGTCATTGGAGGAGGGGTGTCGTGGCAAAGAGATTCACGTTGTTGCATGCTTTTTGGGGGAGATAAAAGCTGATTTCATAATCACAATTGTTTATTAGAAAACGAAATGCATACATACTTGTCGAATAGATTTCCTGAATTCATCCCGAGACAACCTCCAGTTCTTGTCCTTGTCTGTTTGTGTAAACAAATCTATCAGTCTCATTTTGTTCCGTTTAAGAAATAGGTCCAATATACGGATACCAAGTGGTGAGGGGACCTTGACACAGGGAACACTCTTGATTTCAGCACTAATGGGGGTCTCTGGGGGAGGAGCCATCTCCACCTCTTTTGGCATCCTCTCTTGCTCCATACGTCGCAGAACACGCTTCTCCAAGGCAGTTTTCTTTGGCTTATTTCTCAACCAGTCTTCACTGAGTCCCATGTTTTCTATGTTATTTCGAAACTTCTGTCTTTCTTGGATCCATTTTTTGTATTGAAACTCTTTATCTTTTTCAACTTCTCTCTGAATTTCCTCTCGGTCATACTCAAGTTTATCCACTAAGGGCTCAGGAGGTTTCACCACAGTATTGATAATAAGTGGGGCAGGTTTAGGTTTCTGGTTTAAGTAACATCCCAGTCGGTGTCTCATCTTTGTTTCCATTGGAGGAGCAACAATGACCCTCTTTCTGCTGAGTGGGCCACCAAATATCTTCACTGCAGCCTTATAATGCTTGACATGTGGCAGGTCCCTGTGCTTGAATAGACCCATACGCTCATCCTCTGGGATGTGGTCAAGGTTGTATTCATCAAACAACCGATCAAGGGGGAAGCTGATATCTGAATCCATGGCGTCCAGCGCCCCACCCCTATGTGGTGGCATGCTGCTTATCTACCAAATGACCAACTTACTAAAGCACTGGATGTTTTTTTCAATTCGAGTTGTAGAAACAGTGCATACTTTACCCATGGAGAAGCTGTCTGTAAACAAAAAAAAATCACATTCAATTAATGTTGTTGACAAATGTTTTCTCTTCGGTTACAGTTCATCTATGGTATATATACATGTATGGCTATGTTCTATGTGTGCAGACTATTCTAGCTGTAGTCAATAACTGTAGGATTGAAGAAATTACATTTCTGATGTGTGTTCCACTGTCGCATCCTGTCAACATTCAGGGTTGGTTTTTATGTAACCATATGTAATTATTAGCTATTAGGGGTAGACATTGATAGTTGTTTTAAAGTTTCACACTCATATATCAAATGTATGTAGAAAGGCCTCCATACAATTGAGTGTGCTTAAAAGAATTGGAAATTACCTTACCAAAATGGGCAAAGTCACTATTTCCAAATCTTTTATTTTATCTAATTTTAATTTTGTCCTCTATCTTGGCATTTTTGCAACAAAAGCAATACTAGAAAGACGGAAAAAGTTCAAGAGAGAACCCTGCGTTTTATTTATAGAAAATGATTTTATTACCCCGGTTAAAGACATTTTAATTAGAAATAACTTACATTTTTTACATGTTTGCAGGCTCAAGACAATGGCTAGGGAGGTCTACAAAAATGTTAATAATATTGCACCTGATTTTTTAAGAGATCTCATGCAGTAGTTAGAAACCAAGTTCTATATAATTTCAGGAAGATAGATACCAAGGGTAAATACCACTACTTTTGGTAAGAAGTCTTTTTGCTTTGAAGCTCCCCCGGTATGGAACAGTCTACCTAATGAGATACAAGTATTTTGTAGACTGATTCACAACTAGGATGGTGAACTCTGCAAATGCTCTTTATGTTCCCGACTCCTTTTTAGGTTGTAGTTTTTTAACTTCAAACTGGTCATCTAGCCGACTGGAGTAGGTGTTTACTTTGTTTGCTTGCTATATTTGTTTGAACCTTGTGATATCCTCCATGACTAAATGTGATTAGTTAATTGTCATGGGTTTTATATCAGTGTCAATACAACACACCTTTTAAACCGTTGTTTTTGTCATTGCATGTTACTTTTATTGCGTTGCTTATTCCTATTTTGTGTTCTCTTTGAAGTCCATTTAAAAATGACTGCATTATTATTTTATAATTTGGTGTTATAGGGCTAGGTAGGGATTGGCCCAACCACCTGTCCTGCGAAACCCCACACATATATCGTTTAATCTTTTAGTGCAGGAGCCTGTATATATTGTTATATTAACACCAACCTAGCTATCTTATATAACTTAAGTGTATTTTATTTAGCTCACCTTTATTTTATTCATCCATGTAAGCCTACATTTACTTGCATGCTATGTTCTTGTTTGTTTTAAATTATACCAATGTTTGTTGCAGCAAATACTCTACCGAGCTTATATTTGTATATTTATTGTACCTGTATGCGACGTTAATTATAAACAGTGATTAATCGAAGCTAAGTATCGCGTGCATACTTAACCCCCTCCGCAAAAAAAAGCCATTTTGGTCTCTGTGGAGTATAACATATAACGTTAGATAGATACTAGATAGTAATAAATAGTCTTGTATCTTGTACCATTCAAACTCGTATGTTGAGTTGGAGCCAAATTTGTTTGATCCAGTGGTAATCAATAAAACTTAATATTTTGTTCTTGAATTTGAGGAATTCAGGACAGACTTAAAGCAGAATATTGTTTTCAACGTTTACATTTGACTTTATGATCGTGTCAAATGAGTTGAACGAGTTACAAAACGTGGTTACGTCTGAGCACAGAATGCATTAGTCAATTTAGTGTACATGCTCAAGCAATTAACTTAAAGCATGTGATCTGGTTCATGAATAATAATATCATATGTCCATTGTTATGCCTGCGTTCATTACCTTTCCTATTAAAATTCCTATTAAATTAGTACGGGCCCAGAAGTCAAAATCTTATTATATGGACGTCAAATGGGAATGAAACAAGTTACTTTTAGATAAAAGTCAAAGAATACAACTATATTTAACACGCCCATAATATAAAACGTCCACATTTAACAAACAATACTTCAGTCATCTCGTATGATACCATTTAAATACCGTGCATTTCATATGGTCGTTTCAGTCCGTATATATCGCCATCTTTGTTGCTCCATAAACAAATCGGTCGCGCCATCTATCGTTCAAAACAAGGGACGTAATGGTGTTGCAAGTTGTTCTAATTATCTCCCTTGTGCCTTGTAGTAGTGAAAAACAGCTCCTTACACAACGGATTTTATTGCAGTGAGTCGTTCACCGAAATTAAATATTATATTTTGTTCCACTTAATTGCATTAGCTCTTGGTCCATAGATACATGTAAGTCACTTTGATTTATAATTACTTGTAAATGGTGGAAATTAAAATGAAATTGTCAGTAGACGAAGGGGAACCTATTAGATTTATAAAAACGCGTTTGACACAGTGCCTCACCAACGTCTGTTAAAAAAACTACATGGAAATCAGAGGGAAAATTCTGAACTGGATAAGAGCGTTTAAGAAGGAAACACAGCAAAAAGCTGTGGTACATGGAAGAGCGACCGGTTGGGCAAAAGTAAAATAAGCGGAGCACCCCATGGCAGATTTTATTCTTCCCGCGCGCGCATTGCGTCACGTCACAGGTAGTGGGAATCCGTGCTCCACGGATTCCACGTCTACCCGTGACCACTACCTGACACGTCACCCGACCCACACACTCCAGCTATCACCCGTCGAGAGAGGAGCTCTCAATTGCACGTTACCAAGCATCACGCCATAGTCCCTGGTAAGTCTGTGTTTTATCATTACTTCATTCCATTTATATGTAGTCATATTCATGTCATTGTAAATAAGTGTATATGATAGGGTGTGTACAGCGAGAGTGTATTTATACCTGTTACATATTATTGTTACAGGATCCCTTGTACCCATCATCATCATCATCTACATTATTGAATAAAGACATCAAAGAATCATCAAATAGTCTCGAGTTCTACATTGGCGCCCAACGTGGGGCGCCAATTTAACAGAGTGCATGATTAATTAAATATAAAGCACTGCCACCGCATGGGACCTCTGGCTTACTAGTCTTACGCTCAACCGATCGAGCTAAAGAGAAGTTCTCCCTAGCCGAGACGGTAGGAAGCGGCTAGTATTTTACCAGGTGACATTGGCGCCCACGTAGGGACCCGGGAGATATGACAAAAATACTCAGCAATACTTGCAAAGGAATCTCTATGATCCCTGGAAAACTCGGGACGAGTTTTTTCTTAAAGGGGGAGTATGTCACCCTGGTAAAATACTAGCCGCTTCCTACCGTCTCGTCTAGGGAGAACTTCTCTTCAGCTCGATCGGTTGAGCGTAAGACTAGTAAGCCAGAGGTCCCGGGTTCGATCCCATGCGGAGGCAGTGATTTATATTTAATTAATCATGCGCTCTGTTACATTTATAAACGATTTACCAGAACATGCCGAAACAATAATCAGATTATTTGCAGACGACGCCAAATTGATAGACAGAGCAGGGTTACTACTGGAAACAGATAGAGTGCAAAGGGATGGAGATAAACTAGGAAACTGATCAGGAAAATGGCAATTTAAATTCAATGCTGCTAGATGTAAATCACTACATATTGGTCACAACAATGGAAAAGTCTACAGTATGAAAGAAAATAGGACGGAGAAAGACATGGAGCAATTTTGGGAATAAAAGGATTTTTGAGCAATTTTTGAATTCAACAAATATATCTGGTTGTGTGGCAAAAGTCTACAGTATGATAGGTATGGACAAGAACCTATGTTAACCATTTACCACTAATAAGACCCAATGGTGCAAGCCAACGCTTGGTGAATACTGCGTAGAGCCGACATCGAAGGATCAAAAAGCAACGTCGCTATGCAGGTCCAGTACACTCTGCCGATTGAGCTATATAGCTGTAAAGACCTATAATAGCTCTATTGACCTATCTGAAATAGGTCTTTTGAGCTATTTTCAAGTGATTTTCTTTTTTAAGGAAAACGAAACAAAGTCGCATTTAAAAGAAGATTGTATCATTAGGTTGATAACAATAGACATTAAAAATGAGTATTCTTTTTAAAAAATAATGATGTAAAAAAATCGGAAATTTTACATTTATGAAAAATGAAAATAAACATCTAACTGTATTCTTTTTGTAGTCAACATTACCATTAACCTTACTGTTTTATGCGACTTTGCTTTAATTTAATGAAATTTGAAATCTGAGAAAATATAGCTCAATACAGCTATAATTTATAGGTGTATATAGCTATATAGGTCTTTATAGCTATATAGCTCAATCGGCAGAGTGTACTGGACCTGCTATGTGCCACGCTTAATGAACCAAATTGTCCGTGTCGTGTTAAGCAGGTGTTGTACAACCAATTAGTGAGCGTCCATCCACTAGGAGGAATTTAAGTCCCTCACATTTCTTTTGCAGTTGCTTTCCGTTGGTTCCATTTCATTCTGGTGGGATCGTATAGAACCCAATGTACTACATACCGGTAATGGCAATAGAAAACACAACAAAGGCTACAAATTGGTGAAAGCATATAAAGATCTGACATATAAAATATAGAAAGAGGAGGAATTATATGGACCTTTCAAAACAATACAGTTCGATACTGTCGACAAGGAGGCGTTCTTTGATATAGAAGATCAATCACGAACCAGAGGGAATCAATTCAAACTGTAAAAACAAAACAAAAAACAAAGTTGAACGGCAGGAAAAACTGGGGTGTTTTTTTAACAGAATTATCTCAGACTGGTACAGCCTACCGAACGCTTTAGTTGAAGCTGAAACCTTAAACAGTTTCAAAAGCAAGATCAACGACCACTGGATGAACACGGCAATGACATCCGAGCCAGGCGGTTACTGCTAGGTGGGAAAAATCGAAAAGTAAAGTATTCATATGAATTTACAAAATATCAGCTGGGAAACAGGTTTCATGCACTCCTAAATCGCAATAGACCATTCATTATGTAGAATATGGAACTTTCATGTATTTCCTCATCCCAAAACTAGGAACATGATCCTACCAAAAAAAAACACGAAAACAATCAAGGATGATCAGAACACCTGAAGTATGAATGTAGATGCAGCTGACTGGAGATTGAATGAGGCTACTCGCTAATCTAGCATAGTGCTGTATATCGGACAACCGACAAGTTCAGAACCAAAACAAATGAGAACAAATAAATGTGATTGTAGATAAGACAATGTGATGTAACTTTTTAGATAATGCTATAAATAATGCGCCAACCCAGGCATACATAATGCGCAAACCCAGGTATATCAAGGAAGAAACAACAAAAGAACGGTCTCACTAGCCGCGCCTATCCAACGACCGGAGGGACAGTACGGACAGTAAATTACGTGTATAAAGTACATGCATGATAACGCTAAATATGGATTTAATCTTGATATTGTGTTGATTGTATGTCCGGCGAAATTTCTGGCGTTTAGCATGGATTACTCTTAATTGCAGTGGTGTGATGACGTTTCGGCTTCCAGGTAAATCTCTAATACCGAACCAATCCCATTTGGCTAAGAACTAATCCAGAAAAGAAAAGAAATATTTTTACTATTTTTAACTACCGTCAACATTGTATAAAACAATACATAACCTCCGACCCCAAGGTTGACCACCATACGCAAACAGATTGATTGACGAACAAACAAGACAACTATATACCTACTCTACTACATAAGCAGGAATAAAAGAAGGCATATTTATGTTTGGTGGTTTGTGTTAATGTTTTAATTAAGTCTTTCTTCCTAAGTAAAATTAAATAGAAGAATAAAAAACAAAAACAAAAACGATCGAACTATCCCATTTTTTCAGTCATGTTACCTGAACTTACATTATTTTTTAAGTAATATGACACATTACACATAGGCAGTAATTAAGAAATAAAGGGTGACGATATTTATAATCAGTTGACGTGGATTTCTTTGACGTTAACCATTGTTCTGTATCGCTAAGCAGGACGTGCTTGAAAGACTTGTTGGCATACATGTTTTTTTTATACCCTTTATCGTTTTATAATACTTCAAGACCACGTATATATTCTTAACCATGTCTGAGTTCAGGTAGGTCATGGTCTAAACATTGGTACATTTTAACAACATAATTACTGATTTTATCCCTACATATAGGGCGTAAGAATTGTACCTGCATGATCGTAAGAGGCGACTAAATTTGGTATCTTATCTTTTCTCTTCTTTCTAAACACTTTCTTCTACCTAATGTCTCCCTTGACAATGCCTCACTTTTGGCATTTAGTTGAGTGTTCGCCCCTGTGAGGAAGCTTTGGGTTCTGTCCCCTGGCCGAGACATACCAGAGTCTGTAAAAATGGTAGTTTCTACTCCCACTTAACGCTCAGCAATTTAGGAGTTGGACGACTGGTTCGCCCGTAGTCAGTATAATTTGACCGGGTGGGGTGTCCTGCCGGGTGTCTTCGGCAGTATGTTTCAGTGGGGTAGCACTATAAAGTCGGCATCAGTTCCGCGCTGTCACAAGAAGACAAACACGAATATATCACTGCCTCCCAAAACACAAACGCATACACTACATGCATGCATCTTGCACACAGGGGAGGCCGTCCTTAAATGACCATAGCTGTTGATAGGACGTTAAAGTTAAAGAATGCTAAACCCAAACCCAATTACTGATTTTTTTCTTATAGTGTGAAAATACAAGACTCTCTGTTCTCGCTTTTTGAAATTAGCACAAATTGGCTAGCATATCAGAAATGGTAATCCATTTGCGACCATACTCTTTAACATGAGCATATTACTGATTACATAATTTCTGTTCATAGTCGTAACATGAGCATATTACTGATTACCTAATCTCTGCTCATAGTCGTAACATGAGCATATTACTGATTACATAATCTCTGCTCATAGTCGTAACATGAGCATATTACTGATTACCTAATCTCTGCTCATAGTCGTAACATGAGCATATTACTGATAAAATAATCTCTGCTCATAGTCGTAACATGACCAAATTACTGACTACATAATCTCTGCTCATAGTCGTAACATGAGCGTATTACTTATTACATAATCTCTGCTCATAGTCGTAACATGAGCATATTACTGATAACATAATCTCTGCTCATAGTCGTAACATGACCAAATTACTGATTACATAATCTCTGCTCATAGTCGTAACATGAGCGTATTACTGATTACATAATCTCTGCTCATAGTCGTAACATGAGCATATTACTGATTACATAATCTCTGCTCATAGTCGTAACATGGGCGTATTACTGATTACATTATCTCTGTTCATAGTCGTAAGGAGAACGTCCCAAGAAGAGGCGATAATCTTACAATGCCGCCTGAAGGTTTTATATAATAAACTCGATACACGTGGACAGATGTTCACGTTGATTTTCTGTTCCAAGTTGTCCAAGCATTGTTAGCTTAAAAACGCTTCTCGCAAGCTTTTTGTCTTCACGCGAGCTTTTTGTCATCACACAAGCTTTATCTCTTCATGCAAGCTTTATATCTTCCCACAAGCTTTGTGTCTTCCCACAAGCTTTTTGTCTTACTACAAGTTTTATGTCTTCACACAAGCTTCATGTCTTCCCATGAGCTTTAGGTCTTCACACAAGCTTTGTGTCTTCCCACAAGCTTTGTGTCTTCCCACAAGCTTTATGTCTTCCCATGAGCTTTAGGTCTTCACACAAGCTTTGTGTCTTCCCTCGAGCTTAAGCTGTGTCTTCATAAATGCTTTATGTCCTCACATGACCTATGTGTCTTCATAAAAGCTTTGTCTTCACACAAGTTTATCTTTTCCCACGACCTTTATGTCTATATAAAAGCTTTGTCTTCCCACGAGCTTTATTTCTTTATAAAAGCTTTGTCCTTACATATAAGCTTTGTGTCTTCCCACGAGCTTTATTTCTTCCCGTAAGCTTTGTCTTTACACGAGTTTTATGTCTTAACATAATCTATTTCAATTTTATTTATGTAAACCTGTTACAGATACAGGCTTTCATCGCATAGCGTAAACATAAAATCCGGAAGATATAATAATTGGGGCGATATATCTGACGAATTTGACGAGTATCATTTTATTCTAGTGTTTAATTAATTCTTATTCTTATATTAGAACAAAATATTCTAAGTCATTTTTCTGGCGTCGTCCTTCTGTCTTCAAGCTTGTACAATTCCTGCCTGTAAGGAATGTAAAAGAACTGAATAACCTTGGTAATTGTTTGTGTATCGCCACTGCCAGGCGTGAAAGCTACTAGTAAAATCATTGTGTTTTATGACACGGGTGTTACACATTGTTCAGCCTCCGTTATCTTGTATACAATTCATTTACTATGCATACAATTCATTTACTATGTAATACTCCTATCAGCTGTACTGCTATTTTAATCCTAATTTGTTGAGTTCAGCTTTGAGCTCGGGTATTTAAAATCCAACAATCATTTCACAATATCGTTTACTCTTACATGTTTTAAAAATACAATTATTCGAAGTGCTTAATTTTAACCAGTATTTAATCATTCGAAGTTTCTACAAAAAAGATAATATCAATCTTCCTAACTGAAGTTCTACATGTCACGGTGGTCAAGCTAGTGGTTTAGCTTCCCATGTACATATTTTATATTAAATTACTATTTTATAAATACTTGCGCTGTGTGTGTGTGTGTGTGTGTGTGTCGGTTTGTATATATCTGTCACGGTGGGTGTTATTGTGACGTGTGAGAGGTGAGAGATAATATTGGCTGAGAGAGACACTTTGACCCTGCATGAACCCATTTGCACGTGGGAGTCTCACCTGAGCACCCGACGTGTATTTCAACACCAGTCTTGAGTTAACCCTGTAGGAAGCAGCAATAATTAACTGTAGCTCTAGATCTAAGGCTGTAAGGCTACTATTTTCAATACATTTTTTATCTAAAATATTCTTAACAGCTGTAAATAATATATTGTTAAATACATTTCAGGATAGTATATACATACTTCTACTTAAATTAATAACTTACAAATATATGCCCGTGGGTATATGTACAGCCCACGTGGTCACATGACATTGTCGCTATATATATAACTAGTAGGATCAACGTGGGTATGAAAATAACGTTAGGGGACTTGGGTAGAATCACGGGATTAGGTGTTATCTAAGTCCGTGATAGAATTAAATTCATAACTAATAATAGTATAGACTTATGTAGGTAACTGATACATACAGTATAAATTATAGTGAACAAATTATCATTTACACGTAATTTGGATGTATAGTCGCTTGTATAATTTTATTTCAGGTCGCCGTTTCCTCGTGTCTCCGTGTACATGTGTCTCCTTGCCAATGTGTCTCCTTGTACATGTGTCTCCTTGCCAATGTGTCTCCTTGTACATGTGTCTCCTTGCCAATGTGTCTCCATGTTGCGTTTTAAGTGTAATAAATAAAACCAACTATATTGACAAATTGTCTTGGAATACTATATATATATATGTATATTGTAGTACGGAAAACCCATTAAATAGTATTAGTGTACTCGTGTGACATTGGCGCCCAACGTGGGGCCCCGGGTAACACTGACAAGAATCGCTTTGACCTCTGCAAAAACTCGGGACGAGCTCTTACCTGGAGAGTTCTACAGTATCATAAAAAAACACCTTTAATTGTTTCCTATTTCACCACCAGTTCTGAATACAACTGTTTTCGTCGTTTCTGTATTGAAATTGAGTTGTACTTCTTATTATATAACTTCAAGGCTTCTAAAATCTGTTGTAGCTTTTCTGGTGTCCCCGCAAATAGCACCGTATCAACATGAGAATTTGTTACAGCTATATTTGGACCTAAACTAAGGTGTTTAGAGTAATTTTACACGCTTGGTGGGTTTCGGTAAAAAAAAAAAAAATGCCACATATAATGAAGAAGGGCGGGTAAGCTCTCGATGTCGAGCATATTGGGGGTGGCATTACCCCCTAAAATCGATCTAAACCCCCCAAACGTGTAAAATTAATCCAAACACCTTAGTTAAGGTCCAAATATGGCTGTAACAAATTATCAGATCCCTGCACATGTGTGTGTGTTCTACATATGATAACACCGACAAGGTATCCCAAGCGGCCTCACAAGTACTACGCCTCGCGCACTGTCTGTACGCCGAGCAGGACAGATCAACACAATCAACATGCCGACCAGATTAGGCTATTGGAAAATACGAGGGGTAAGCCTTTCTAACAAAGACATACTAGACATACTTCATTATAATGGTAGTGTTTTTTAATGCTAAACACGAACTTGTATGTATATTACTTGCAAATATGAAACCGGCATGGTATGTACAGTATGTGTCACTCACTAACTATTTGACGAGATGAGAGTGTGTGATGTTCACGTGTACATGACACACCTGTGGCGGTGCACCTAACACACGTGAAGTAACAAATAATTAGCGTCCCTAGAGCTAGATCTAACTAGGATACAACATGTATTTTTATCTTGTAGGCGTAGCATGTTGCTGTAACTCCGCACTGCGGAGAAGTTATAGGCTAGCCCGAAAATGTCTGGCTCGTTAACGTTGTTAGGAGACAATCAAATGCAAGCCAATAGATAAATATATATATATATCATCATTGGGGGTCATTTTTACTAAAATGCGATCTAAACCACGTACTAAAACATGTAAACTTACTCTGAACACCTTAGTTTAGGTCCAAATATAACAAACACGTTCTGAGGTCACTGTGTCAGAGACGTATATATTACGTAATATATAAAACGTAATATATACACGTCTCTGGAAGTGTGTGCCTAGGGCACAGGTACTAGCCTCGTCTGTCAATACACCTATTATATTAAATAAGTATGGAGGAGACAGATGGATTAATATATAACAAACTCTTCCTTTGTAATTTGACAGAAAACACTAAAACTATATATACAATGACAACAATATGATGGATAAGTGTAAAAGCTAGCCTGAATGTTGGCCGGACAGAAATGTAATGCAAAGGGCCAGAGGAAACTTTTAGTGTAAAACATGTGTCAAGTTTTACAGGCGAGACACTTTGTCAAGGCTGCACAAAAAACACCTTTATCTTTTGAGCTATCAATATTAGGTCACTTGGAAGGTTAATCTTTCTCTTTTTTTGTGTGTGTGTTTATATTTGGGGTTAACAGAGATGGAACAATGTTACTAGTCCATATGTAAATTCCACTTATCCAATACTATATACTATTCCACATGATAAGTACTGTAATATCTGACGAGTCGCTATGACATAGTGTATCATTTAGAGGACCAGAATGAAGATTTACTGGTAGTTGGACGAGGAATGAGGTGCACGTGTATTAAACTACATTTTAATTGTTTTACCTCATCATATTTTCTCCAACACTGCATAGATGCATTCCGCTTTTTATTAGGGAAAGATTATAAGACTCTTTCGTGCACTAAGGGGTGTAGGATTGGGAAATTCCACCTGAGGGGTTTTCAAATTTGGTAAAACCTGAGGCTTTGCCAAGGGTTTTGCCAAATTTGAAAACCCAGAGGGTGTAATTTCCCTTTCCTACATTTCTATGGATGAAAAGAGTATTTTTCTCTCATTTAAACCACCAGAGAAACCATGAAAATGCGTTTGGATTGGCCGCCATTTTGAAAATATCAATTTTTCCCCTCAACTTTTAATACGAAAACAAATTAGCCAGCCAGATTAAGCAAATCCCATATTTGCAAACTGCACTTAAATATTAATCTCATCTTTCTAACATGTACTGTAAATATATTGTAAAAGGTTTTAATTTCATCACGTCGCCTTTTCCGCATTTGGGGCATCGGAGAGTTCAAAATTTGTGATGTCATGTCATTGTTGAGCCATTGTGATGTCACGTCACGTGAAATGGGGTGTTAGATAGAAATTTCCTACACCCCTTTCTTGACCTGGACAGCTCTATTGTACACACAGGGAAATGAGTGAAAAAAATGTCAATGAAAAGACACATACATGTGTTGTTATTCTGAAAGCATTGCCATTGTGTCATCACTTCCCACAGGGTAACCAGGGTCATTTCCTCAGTGTCATCACTTCCCACAGGGCAACCAGGGTCATTTCCTCAGTGTCATCACTTCCCACAGGGTAACCAGGGTCATTTCCTAAGTGTCATCACTTCCCACACGGTAACCAGGGTCATTTCCTCAGTGTCATCACTTCCCACACGGTAACCAGGGTCATTTCCTCAGTTTCATCACTTCCCACAGGGTAACCAGGGTCATTTCCCCAGTGTCATCACTTCCCACAGGGTAACCAGGGTCATTTCCTCAGTTTAAATGTCTCACATTTCACGCACCCACAGTGCAGTGGGTTCACCATTACAACATTGTTTGATGACTGGAAAAATTGAAGTGTGAAACTATGAATGATATACTTCAGAAATCTTATAGAGGGTTTAGATTTCTCTTGTCTGCAAATTCTGATCTATTTCATGTAACTTGGTGCTGTCACTGGTACCAAACCCTGCATACCCCCTAAATGTTCATGTTTGGTTTCATTTTCTCTTCAGTTTCTTTCTTGTACATTGAACATTTACTTTAGTTATTGCATACTTGGTTCCCTGGCCCAGGACCCTGAAAGTCTTAACATTAACAAAAAGATATTTGACATGTAAGCTATTTCAATGCCCTTAAAATTATGCATACATTTATGACATGTGCCTCGATCTTGCTGTGGTAGCTTACCAACTGGGCTATGTGAGTACTATATGAGATAACACATGTTTCAGCTTGCCCAACCCGTCAGGCTCTTGTTGAGGCATGCAGGGGAGGATTATGAAGATATCCTTTACGAACAAGGAGATGGTATGTAACTTATGTTTGTAAATATCTTTGGCCGATTTTCTTAATTATGTCCAATAAAAAGTATCCTTATCTACATATCAATTTAATGTATGATATCGTACCTACAAATTATGTATGACACATTGTAGTATGTGTTATATATGACATTGTAGTATGTGTTATATATGACATTGTAGTATGTGTTATGTATGACATTGTAGTATGTGTTATGTA